CCCGCCTCCGAGGGCGGGCCGCACTTGTCCGCCAGGCCGCGGAGGACACGATGCTCGCGAGCAGAGCACAGCCAGCAGGTGGAGCAACAAAAAAATACAGGGGACCTGGCAATGGCCAAGGCCGGGCCGAGGGCGATGTTGCTCAACCATGATGTTGGGAGCCAGGGTGTAGGAAATCACGTGCCCCACTGTCCCACACTTCCCATCTGCGAATGGATCGAGCGAACACGACACAGCCAAGCGCAGGAAAGCGCGAGCCACGCGTTCCCAGACTACCGGAACCTGCGTCGCCGTTACCTACATCTCCGTTAGCCCGTCTACGGAGTGGGCACGGCGACCCCCGTGTGCCAGGCGGCACTGAAAACGAATTCGCCGAGAGCTCAAGTCTGGACTGGCACTCGCTGAGAGGCCAGCCACTCGGCCACATTCTGGCGGGCTCGCCCGCGGCTCTCCAAACAGCGGCGGCACGAGAATCGGGAGCCTCCCCCTTACCCCGCCCCCTCTCCCCCCCCGACCCTTCGGCCGCACGACACCGTGCGCAGTCCCAGCAATCAACAGGTCGCAGCCACTGGCTCGGGCAAACTTCTGCTCGGGCGGCGCATGTACGACTCTGCCATCTCCCCGAAGGTCACAGTCGATGATCCTCAGAACGTGCGTTAGCCCCAACGTGTGTTTCCCCATCGAGGCCCTTCGACACGACCCAGGCGATGTAATGATCTACTGATTGGGCTGAAGGGTGTAAACACACATTGGATTAACACACGCCCTGAGGACCACCGACAGGTCCCCGAAGGTCACAGGGGCCCCACTCCTCGAGCGCCGCGACCTGCCTCTTCCGAATCCTACTCGCACGGCGCTCCACCTCGTCACTGGCTTCGCGGCCGAGAGGGGCGCCCGCCGCAGGAGCTGAGCGATGAGAGAAGTGGGCGACGCCGCCGCCGCCGCCACCACTCCGCCAGGGGCATCCCGAGACATGTCGGTAGTTAGGGCGGGCCAGGCGCTTCGCATGAGACTTGCTCGCCTTTTGTGGTCCTGTTGCTTGAAGACTGCACCAGCTCTACGGATGGAGCACGACTGTGGCTCTCGCCTCAGCACCGCCGACATTCGTCCTTGAAGCTTGCAGCCGTTTCACGGAGGGCGGGTTGCTTTCAAAATGTGGCTATCGCCTTAGCGCCGCCCACATGAGTGTTTAAACAGTTTGCAACCAGTTCATTGCTTGAGTGCGGTTCCTTTTCGAAATGTGGTTCTCGCTTTAGCGAAGCGCACATTCGTCCTACACGGTTGCAACTGTGTCAAGGATTCGTGTGGTTGAAATTCCAGGAATGGTGCTCTGGCGCAGTTTAGAATTGTCCAGACGCAGCGGTCACGTTGATTCGCTGTGTTCAAATTTCAAGAACCACGTTCTGGCACGATTTAGGACTGTCAGGACGCAACAGTCGGGTTGACTCGCGGCGCTGAAGTCCCAGGAACCGAGATGTGTCACTGTTGAGGATTTGCAAACGGCTGGCACTTTCCGCAACGAGCATGAATCCTGTAGGAACCTACAAAGAGGGCGTATTGAAACATCGTTGATGCGTCTTGGGTTTGCACTCGTCCTCCTCCTGATCCTCATCCTCCTTCTCATCCTCCTCGTTTCCTGATCCTCATCCTCGACTCTGGATACCCCCCTGAGTGGCAACCCTCCATGGCACCGGCTGGGTCCATCCCACACGAGCGGCGAACGCATCCATCTCCGCGCCCTCGCGGTCTGAACTCTGGGGGGCGATCCCTGAGACACGCCGTCGCACGGACACGTCCCTTGCGGCGTATCCACGAAAAAACTCCCCACATCCGCGAGGTAGTGGCCCTGGGGGCCGGCCCGAGAGGCCGCGGATGTGCGGATGTTCTGGTCTTCGCCCACGACTCCTGGTGCCCCCCCCACCCCCCCAACCCTGCCCTGCGGCGCCCCTGAGCGCTGCGCCCTCCAGCAGGCTTCTCTCCGCGGCCGTCCCCTCCCAAGACGGAGCCAGGACGAGGACACATCTTCGGCCGAGAATCAATCGAGAGTCTCTGAGACCCGGCGGCTCTGGAGGATGTCTCGGGCGCACCGGCCGAGAGCTCGAGAAGGGCCCGAGGCCTGGCACTGGACAGCTCGGCACCGAGGCCGGAAGGCCGAGCTGCAGCAGTCCCAGACCCCCGACGTTGTGATTGTGTTCATGACGTGACCCCCGGCAGCCTGGACCCCTTCCCGAGGACCGGCTTTTCATCCCGAGTCCCTCTTCGACAGTCCCGAGGCCCGGCGAGGGCCCCTGGAGGCCAAACATCGCGAACCCCCCCCCCGCCGTGCTGCTTGCCACAGCGCGAGGAGGTCTGGAGGGTACCGCGCGCATCGAGAAGGGAACTGCCGCGGGCGACGGAGCCAGAGGAGCAGGCGGGTCGGGAGGGCAGCGTTAGGTCGGGCGTGTCCGCCTACAGGCGATCTTGGGCGAAATTTGAATAATAGGCAAAAACACAGCAATAAAGAACAAACATACTCAACAAAAAATCGTTCCCAGCCTATTTTGTTTACGATTTTGGAAGATTCATCCTGTAGAGGGATGCACGGTTTCCCCCGGGGCCGTAGGCGACCCGAGTAGAAGGAGGAGGAGGAGGGGAACCAGTGTGAACCCAAGAGGCATCAACGATGTTGGAATAAACCCTCCCTCCAAACTCCCTCTTCATAGGCCCGTACAACGGTTCATTTACATTGAAGGAACTGCCTCTTTGGAAGATAATCGTTTGAAAACCCTGGAGAATGCCAAAACATTCTTCTCGGGGTTCCAACGCCATGGCTCAACATGACTGTTGCGTCTTGACAATCCGGAATCGTGCCAGAACGCCATTCTTGGGACTCAATCACAGCGGATCAACATAACTGTTGCACTTACATGATCAGGAATCCTTTCAACACACTGTTTCTGGCACGTTGATGATGGGATTCCGTGGAACTCTTGTAACTTGTTGCAGCGAATGTGCGCCGCGCTGAGGCGAGAGCCACATTTTGAAAAGGAACCGCCCTCAATCGGTGAAACTCTTGCCATGCTTTTCAACGAATGTGCGCCGCGCTACGGCGAGAGCCACATTTTAAACTGTTGCCAAGTTTTCAGCTTCAGACCCATGATTGGTGAAGAAGTCTCTGGCGAAACGCCCGTCCCGCCCTGAAAACTGGCCTCGGGGTGCGACAGGGAGAAGCCATTTATAAGGAAAGGAATGGAGGAGGAGGAGGAGGAGGAAGAAGAGGAGGGGGAAGAGGAGGAGAGGAGGAGGAGGAGACGGAGGCGGAGGCGGAGGAGGAGGAGGACGGGTCGCCTAAGCCCTTCGGAAAAACCCTCCATAGAGGGACAGGCCCGGCCGGGAGGGCAGCGCGAGGGGGCGGGGGGGAAGCGCGCGCACTGCTCGCGAGACCCCCCTGGGCAGGAGAGGCCCGCCCTTCTCGCGAGACGCCCCTCCGCGGCCCTCGCCCACGCCCGTCCGAACTCCCGGGGAGGGCCGCGGGGCTGTTAGATCGAGCGTGTCCCCCTTACTGGCGGATGTTGTAAGAAAGAACTTGCAAATATTAGCCACATAATCGTCAAAAAAAGCTGAGCAAAGGTAGTCGAGATATCGTCCCCGGACTACTTCCCTACTATTCTTCAGTATTCCTCCTGCAGAGGACGTGCCCGACGGGGCTCGAGGGGGGAGGGGGGGGGAGAACGTTGGCCTGGAAAGTCGGAGATGCCTCGCTGCTAGCTTTAAGCCTTAGGTCGGGAATGCCCTCCTACAGACGAATTCTTCCTGCGGGAAAGTAACAGCTAGTCCAAACATAACGTTACGTACTTGTATGTGCAGATGCGTATACATGTATATATGTGTGCATATACACACACACAGATGGATAGACTACATGTGTATGTATATATATATATATATATATATACATGTGTGTGCTAATAATCGGTAGATCGTCCCTAGACTATCTTTTCTACACTTTTCGAATATTCCTCCTGTCGAGGGGCTTGCCCGGCTTGATGCCAGCTCGGCGGCGACGGGCCCGTCGACGGCCCGCACGCGCTCCCAGGGCGGCGAGGTGGGCTCTCTCGGGCCCCGCATCGGCGCTTGGCACGCGAGTGGGGGTCGATGCCCTCTCCCGAGCTACCGGGAAGGGTGAAAGGGCGGGGTGAAAGGGCGGCGGGGGGGGGTAGGTTTCCCATGCCTCCGACGGTACAGCTGCAGCCTATGCATCACGCATTGTTCGTGGACGGTGCGCCGCGAAAAGCTGCCAAAGCCGGCTTCATGCACGAGCTGCTAGGGACACGGCCGCCCGCAATGCCACCCGCTCTCGACCTGGTTGGCGAGGGTCGGGCATGTCCCCCTACAGGCTGATTTTTTGTCCCAAGCGCAACTTGTGGAGAGGGGGGAAGGGGGACGGGAGAGGGGCGCGGACAGCCGATGACCAATGCGCCAATTGACTCCTTTGTTGCAGTGCCAGGCTCCTGTCAAAAAGCGGCCACTCTGCGGCCAGCAGCAAATCGCACATGGTGGAACCACCACGCCGAAAAAAACTGGACCACCACCCCCTACAAGCGGATTTTGGACGAAAAATTAAAAAAGGATTCGAAACAATACCCTAAAATGGTCAAACATAATCGAAACATCGTCCCCTGCCTATATTGTTGACCTTTTTTTGATATTCGTCCTGTAGAGGGACATGCCCGACTTGAGCCTATCCCCCGTAACGTTGCCCCTGCCCAGATCCCCGACAGCACGATCTGCTCACGGCGTCGACCCCCCGAGCTCTCGACCCATCTCCTCTCCCCTGGACGGGCTGCTCGGCCCTGAGTCGTTGTTTGACGGACCCGGGGCCCGGCGAGCGCCCCCAGAGGCCGAACACCACTTGAATCAAAAACGTCCGCCGTGATCTGTTCATGACCCGAGGAGGTTCGGGTGAGCCTATCCCACCCGAACGCTGCCCCTGAACTCCCCATTAGCCCTGAGCCAGGCGCCCTAACCGACGAGGCCACCACGAGCAGGCGCTTGCCAGGCTGCGGCACCAGGACCTCGGGCATGGGATACGGGGCGAGCGGGGGAGGAAGCAGAGGTAGGCAGAACGAGAATACATACAGACAGACACACAGGCAAACGATACGAAACCGTTTCCCCGGGAACAGTTTCCCCGGAACCGCTTCCCCGGGACCGTTTCCCCAGAGGACAGTTTCCCCGGAGACCCCTTCCCCGGGGACCGCTTCCCCGGAGGAGCGTTTCCCCGGGACCGTTTCCCCGGAGGACCGTTTCCCCGGAGGAGCGTTTCCCTGGGAACGCTTGCCCGGAACCGTTTCCCCCGATCCGTTTCCCCGGAGCCCGTTCCCCAGAACCGTTTCCCCGCAGCCGGTTCCCCTGGACCGTTTCCCCGGTGCACCGTTTCCCCGGAACCGCTTCCCCGGAACCGGGTCGGGCTCGGGTCGGGCGCGCGGGCGGGACATTCAAACAGAATAGATCATCGAGTTTGCACGCGAGCACCCAAACGGGCGGGACGGGTCCGGCGGGCCAGCGGACCCGAACGTGCGGACCCTCACGGGCGGGACGGGTCGGGTCGGGCGGGCGGGACATTCAAGTAGAATGCATCATCGAGTTGGCACGCGAGTACCCTACCGGGCGGGACGGGTCCGGCGGGCGGGCGGACCCTAACGGGCGGGACGGGTCGGGTCGGGTCGGGCGGACCCTAACGGGCGGGACGGGTCGGGCGGGCGGGACATTAAAGTATGATGCACCATCGAGTTGGCATGCGATTACCTTAACGGGCGAAACGGTCCCGGCGGGCGGGCGGACCCTAAAGGGCGGGACAGGTCGGGTCGGGCGGGCGGACCCTAACGGGAAAGGTCGGGTCGGGTCGGGCGGGGGACATTAAAGTATGATGTACCATCGAGTTGGCACGCGAGTACCCTATCGGGCGGGACGGGTCGGGTCGGGCGTGCGGGACATTCAAGAATGATGCACCATCGAGTTGGCACGCGAGTACCCTAACGGGCGGGACGGGTCGGGCGGGCGGACCCTAACGGGCGGGACGGGTCGGGTCGGGCGGGCGGACCCTAACGGGCGGGTCGGGTCGGGTCGGGCGGGCAGGACATTAAAGTATGATGCACCATCGAGTTGGCACGCGAGTACCCTCACGGGCGGGACGGGTCCGGCGGCCCGGCGGACCCTAACGGGCGGGACGGGTCCGGCGGGCGGGCGGACCCTAACGGGCGGGACGGGTCGGGTCGGGTCGGGCGGGATGTATGATGCATCATCGAGATGGCACGCGAATACGCTAACGGGCGGGACGGGTCCGGCGAGCGGGCGGACCCTAACGGGCGGGACGGGTCGGGTCGGGTCGGGCGGACCCTAACGGGCGGGACGGGTCGGGTCGGGCGTGCGGGACATTCAAGAATGATGCACCATCGAGTTGGCACGCGAGTACCCTAACGGGCGGGACGGGTCGGGCGGGCGGACCCTAACGGGCGGGACGGGTCGGGTCGGGCGGGCGGACCCTAACGGGCGGGTCGGGTCGGGTCGGGCGGGCGGGACATTAAAGTATGATGCATCATCGAGTTGGCACGCGAGTGCCCTAACGGGCGGGACGGGTCCGGCGGGCGGGCGGACGGGTCGGGTCGGGCGGGCGGACCCTCACGGGCGGGTCGTGTCAGGTCGAGCGGGCGGGACATAAAATAATGGTGCATCATCGAGATGGCACGCGAGTACCCTGACGGGCGGGACGGGTCCGGCGGGCGGACCCTAACGGGCGGGTCGGGTCGGGACGATCGGACATTAAAGTATGGTGCGCCATCGAGTTTGGCACGCGAGTACCCAAACGGGCGGGACGGGTCTGGCGGGCGGACCCTAACGGGCGGGTCGGGTCGGGTCGGGCGGACATTCAAATAGAATGCATCACCGAGTTGGCACGCGGGTACCCTAACGGGCGGGACGGGTCCGGCGGGCGGGCGGACCCTGACGGGCGGGACGGATCGGGTCGGGCGGGCGGACCCTAACGGGCGGGACGGGTCGGGTCGGGCGGGCAGGACATTAAAGTATGATGCGCCATCGAGTTGGCACGCGAGTACCCCAACGGGCGGGACGGGTCGGGCGGGCGGACCCTAACGGGAGGGACGGGTCGGGTTGGGTCGGGCAGGACGGGTCGGGTGGGTGGCCCTCGATGATGGATGAGGGAGGAGAGGGGAGGAGGAAGTAGGGAGGGATGGGGGATGTGGGGCGGGGGGGCGTAGCGGAAACGAGAGATGGGGGAGGAGGGCGGGAGGGCAGAGAGGGATGGATGAGGAGGAGGAGGAAGAAGAGGAGGAGGAGCAGCAGCAGCAACAGAAGCAGCAGTGTAATGAGAGAGAGAGAGAGCAGCAGGAGGGAATCGCCTCTGTGGAACCCGTCCCGTGGAACCGGTCCTGTGGAACCAGCCCTGTGGAACCGGGCTTGTGGAACCGGTTCTGTGGTACCGGTCCTGCGGAACCGGTGCTGTGGAACCGGTTCCGTGGAACTGGTTCTGCGGAACCAGTCCCGTTGAACCGGTCTTTGTTGAACCAATCCTTGCTGAACTGGTCGTCTATTGAACCGGTGTCTGTTGAACCGGTCGTCTGTTGAACCGGTCCCTGTTGAACCGGTCGTCTGTTGAACCGGTCTTCTTCCCAGGCGAACAAACAGAAAAGACAAGACAAGACAAGACAAGACAAGGCAAGACAAGACAAGACAAGACAAGACAAGACAAGACAGGACAGGACAAGACAAGGCAGACAGACAGGCAGGCAAACAGACAAACAGACAAGCATACATGCATATATGCATGCGTGCATACATGCATGCATACGTGCATGCATGCAAGCATGCATGCAAGCATGCAAGCATGCAAACAAACGTGCGTACATACATACATGCATACATACATGCATACATACGTACATACATACATGCGCGGCCCGTCCAGTGCCTCTCACACCTTTAGGCAAAGAGATAGGGAGCAAGAAGGACAGGAGGACAAGGACAAGACGAGACGATCACTTTTCCAGAGCGGCGGGCTGCGCCCTCCGAACAAGTGCTTTGAAGACTAGTGCCAGCAGCTGCGCCGCACCCTGACTCTTTGCCAACCCCTAGGGCAGGGAGGGTGGGCGCCAGAACTCCTTTGAGCCGCAGGTGGCCGCGGAGAGCATGGGCCTCCGCTCTGAGAGGCTCCTCGAGGCCACGCAAAAACGTTTAGAAACCAAACGTGCACGGCCCGTCCACTGCCTCTCACACCTTTATGCAAAGAGATAGGGAGCAAGAAGGACAGGAGGACAGGGACAAGACGAGACGATCACTTTTCCAGAGCGGCGGGCTGCGCCCTCCGAACAGGTGCTTTGAAGACTAGCGCCAGCAGCTGCACCGCACCCTGAGTCTTTGCCGAAGCACGACTGCCTGCATTAAAAATCAAAAAGAATATGACAATATTGAGGGCTCAATTAGGCTGGGCGCCCGAACTTACGCAAAGCAGCTCGCAACTTGCTCGGGGGAGAGGGCCCCAGACAGAGGCTACGCGCCAGGAAGGACTGTGCGAACTTAGATCTCACTCGCAGCAGGGTGCCCGCCTTCTCGCACCGACGGACGGAATCCCGAGCCTTCCAGCGGCCCCGGCGCTGGATCGAACGAAGGTCCTCGAACTTCTCAAGTGCGTCCCGGCTGGCACCTCCATGCCGCAGGCAATGTGGCGTGAAGGTCACGGGCAGCTGCAAACGTCGGCAGGTCGTCTTCACGACCGCCTCGAGCCTGGCTAGCGCGAGTCCGTCGAACAACTTATCCTGGCCCACGCGGGGCACCAGGATGTTCAGGTTGTCGCCCACGAGGCCTGGCCTTTGGCGGCGCTCCCGAGGAAGACGGCGTCGTCGAACGTGTTGGTCTTGGACGGGATGGGCTGCGTCGCCGGCGCCACGGTGACCGCCCGCAGCCTCTGGGGACCGGAGCGCGCTGGCCGTGGAACGTCGGCACCGCGAATGCCCAGCGCCTCGGACGGCCGGAGGTAGCCGTCGAAGGCCACCGGCAGCAGCGCGCCCGCCAGCGTCGACTGCAAGTCCCGGCCGATGAGGTCGTCCGCCACCGCCGGCACCGCCTCCCTAGGTCGACGGCCGGCTCTCGGCTGCCGGGCGGCTGCAGGCGGCCCCATCCCTCGAGGGCCTGCTTGGCCCGAAGGCGCCGCCCTTGGTTGCCCAGCCGCGCTGCCAGCCAGTCCGTAGAGGCACCAGCGGGCAATGGCCTTGGCCTCGCCGCCGAGGAAGAGCGACTCGAAGTAGCACTCCAGGGTGTCGTCCGCTGTGTGCGGATCCGTGAGGCTCCCGCCGTTGTCCGCGACGAACTCTTCGAGCTCCTGCACGCAGCTCGAGTAGCGCGCCGCCGTCGCCGACCGCGCGGTGGAGCGCCGCAGGAAGCCTGGCGCCTGCCCCCGCGGCTCGGCGCGCGCCTGCCCGGCGCGGCGCCCCGCCCTAGTCCCGGAGCCTCTGTCAGCCCCGCCAGGGCAGCCGGTGCCTGAGCGGGCAGCGCGGGGGGCCGACTCCAGCGGTACTGCAGCCGCACGCACTGCCAGCTGGCGCTCCCAGCGGCGCTCGAGCTCGGCCTCTCCGTTGGGCCGCGCGGCCGCCGCGGGCGCCAGGTGCTGGGCGACGCCGGCGTAGGCGCAGGCACGCGGCAGCCAGGCCCGTCTTCCACTCCCAGCGGCCCCTCACGAACACCTCCCCCTGCAGCACCTCGCAGCGGCGTCGGCACTTGCACTCGCGGTGCAGCGTGGCGAACAAAGGGTTGGACGCGGCAAGCCGGGTCGGCTTCTGGAACGGCGCCCCGAAGCGGCACTGGCACAGGTCGACGAGGATCGCCCCGCGCCCAGAGACGCGACCGCTGCGGGCTCTCGAGCGCGAAGTGGGTTCCTGCCCGCCGGCGCTCATGGATCAGGCGCGCCGTGAATCGCGCCGCGGCCAGGCCCCCCGCTGGCTCTGCGGTGCCGGAGGACCGCGCAACAGACCACCGCGCACACGGGGTCGCGAGTTGCATGAGCCAAACGGCGCCAGAGCGGATCCACCTGATGACGACCTTCTGGACCTGCGGGTCCGCGATGTCGCTGCGTGGGCCATTCTGGAGGCCCATGGGGATCCCCACGCGGAGCCCCGCCTCCAGGACGGCCCCCGCCATGTATCCCTCGCCCGAGAAGATCTCCAAGAAGAGCCGTCGGCCCCGACGAGGCCTCTGACCCACTGGACCTCCAGGATGCGCGAGAGCAGGAGGGGAGCCAAGGCCTGGTGGCGGGCGAAACCCAAGACGAACTCGACCCTGATGTTGAGGATGACGGCCCTGGGGGTCGATTCCACGCGTGCTGTCCTCGATGAGGCTGCGCAAGGATATGCGAGCGAGTGCGCCTCGACCTCGACGGAGAGCTTCCTGGGGGTTCGGGCTCGAGCTGTGCTGGAGGACGCTTTTTTAGGACACACGTTGTGCCCCGAGCTGGGCGCCGATCCGGGGGGGCGGCCAGTCGGCCGTCGGCCCCGAGGCCCGCGCCAGACCAAGTTGGGCTGCAGCAGACCGCGGTCCGCGGCGCGGCTCATGTAGCCCGCTGCGCCCCGCGCGCCCTCGACGTGGCGCTGCCGCCGCACGGTGCCGGAGGCCAGCTGCAACGCGGCAGCCCGCCGGCATTGGGCGAGGAGCTCCCTGTTCGCCGCCCGGCCCTTCTCGAAGGCTAGGGCGGAGCCCAGGTTGCCCCCGGCCGAGAGCAGCTCCGCGTCGTGGTACGGGGCGTAGCTGGCCGCCCGCGCCAGGCCCATCAGCCCACAGCGCGCCTCGTAGTCGTGGATGCGGCTGGCGTCGCGCCAAGCGCGGCGGCCGCCATCTCGAGTCGACCTCGACCCGACTGCGCTCCGGCACTGGGCCGCGCGGCCTGGCTCTCTCGAGCAGACCGTCCCACCAGCCCACGCCAGCGTCGCCGATCGCGAGCGAGCCCCGGAAGCCGTCGCGCCCCCGCTCCACGAACTTCCCCCGCCTGCTGAAACCTGCCCGCTCCCGGAAGCGGCAGAGATCGTGAACCTCGTCCGCCGAGATGTCGGTCCCCAGCAGCGCGCGGCCCTTCATGGAGGCGTCCGCCACGAACGCGACGGGGCAGGCTGGCAACCCCCAGCGGCCAGCGGCCATGAAGAGGATCGACCGGGCTATCCGCAGCTCCTGCAGCGCCCCCGTCGGCAGCTCGCGGACCTCCCCGAGGCCCTCCTGGGCGAAGTCGTAGAGGGCACGGAAGACTGAGAGCCCGGGCCTGAGCAGCTGGAAGAAGGATGCCAAGTGGCCCAGGACCGCGCGCACCTGCCAGCCCGCGGCCTTCCGCCTCTTCAGGAGGAAGGTCATGCCACCGCACAGCCGCCGCAGCCGCTTCGGCTCGGGCCGCGCCAGGCCCTGCACGCCGTCCACGATGACGCCCGGGATCTCCACCTCGACCCCCGCGCCCTGCTTCTCGTGCCACTTCAACCCGAGCAGGTCGAGGGCCTCGGTCACGCGGTCGAGCCGAGCCTGCGCGACCTCGCGCTCGAGCCCGATGACGTTGGCGTTGTCGACGAACGGGAAGTCGCCCACCATGCCGGGCCGCAAGTGTGCCGCTGGCGCCTTGTCCAGCACCATGGCGTCGCTCGGGCTCGCCGAGATCTTCATCGCGCGTGCGAGCGTCTCGTGGCATATCCAGAGAGCCCAAGACCAACCCATCGCCAGCCCGCCGTTGGCGGGCCCAACGTAGTCCTCCAGGGCCACGTTGACGAAGGGCCCGACGTCGACCGTCGCCGTCGTAGAACTGCTGCACGCCGAGGGCCATCGCGCGGACGCCCGGCAAGTCGAACACGAACCACTCGGACAGGTGCGGGATCTTGAACTGGTGGAAGCCGCCCTTCAAGTCGACCGTGGCCGCGTGCAGGGCGGCCTCGTCCGAGCTCACCGTACAGCGCTGCCGCCAGTCGGTTCCCACTTGCACTGCTGCGAGGGCCTCGACCGACGCCATGCTGGTCTGGGGGGGGGGGGGGGGTAACCGATGAAACGGTTGGGATGCCGACCGCCCACGATCATGCGGAGACGGCCCCCCTTCTTCTCGACGAAAAACAGACCCACGGTCACCTTCTTCCGACGGGGGGCGACCACGATCCCCACGTCGGCCAGGCGGCGGAGCAGCGCAAGCAGGCGTGGGCGATTGGCCCGGACCCTTGGGTTCAGGAGGGGGCCCCAGCACGGCTCGACATGGGGCTCGCCCGCCAGCTCGTCGGAGTGACGCTCCAGGGACCGGCTCGGCTCCATCAGAACTTGTCGAACGTGATCGGGGACGAGGTCGAGCGCCTCCCGAGGCTCCGCGGAGCCCTGCAGAAGGGGAACCTTGTCCTGGTCGAAGGGCCGAACGGTGAGCCGACCCTCCTCGGAGTAGATGTTGCTGGAAGTGAGAAGCTCCTGGAAGGCCTCTCGTGGCCGGAGGTCGGCCGGCGGCTGGCCATGCCGAGCAACCGATCGAACCACACGGTCTAACGCGGACTCCTGCGAAGGGGTCGGCGTGGAAGTCTGGCGCGCCCGTCCAGGCTGGGGGGCGCGTGGCGCTCGTGCGGCGGCCAGCGCGTTCAGGCTCGAGAAGATGTCCTCGGTCGCCCTCCGCGTCCAGTCCCGCTGGGCACGTCGGCGAGCGGCCCGGCGGCCCGCCGGGCGCTCTTGGCTGGTCTCCTCGAAAAAGTTGGAGGGCAGCACCAGGGGGAAGGGGTCGGGCGCCATGGCGACGACGAAAACTTCGAGACACAACTGCGAGCAAAAATGCGGCCGCCGTGGAACAGGCCCTTGGCCGCCGGGAGTCCTGCCTCCGGGGCGGAGGACGGACAGAGCGGGGACTCCCGCTCTGGGTCACTTCCCTCCTCCTCCGCGGTTGCCTCCGCCAGCAGTCCGCTTGGCTTCGGCATCCCGCTCTTCCGCATAGATCCTCGTGTTCTTCATGATCGCCGCCTTCGTCTTCTGCTCCTGGGCCATCCACTCGTCGAACTTGCCGGTGACCACCCCGCCCGTCTCGTCGAGCGCCGAGGCCAGCATGTCCTCCAGCCCGACGAAGTTCGGATGCTTCGGGTCTCGGTGGATGGCCCGCTGCATCTGCACGACCCTCCTGGCGACCAGCTCCGCCCCCGCGAGGTTCGTGACGTCGACCTGGTCGTACTCGATGAAGTGACGCAACGCCTCGAGCAGAAGGCGGATCTCGTGGGCCGCCGCGCTGCCAGGTGGGATCCCGCTGTTCGTGATGTAGTGCCCAGCGTAGCCCGCGATCCCGAGGCCCGACGCACGCGCGCTGGCCAAGAACTCGGGCAGCGCCTTCGGCCCGCGAAAGACCCAGTCGTCGGTCTCCTGCGGGCGGTGAGCCTCCATGGCCTGGTCGAGCGTGGCTCGACGCGGCCCGCCCGCTCCGATCCGTCGGACCGGGCACGCCCGAGGATCCCGCCCAGGCCCTGAGTGCTTCTCGTCGAGCCACTGCTGGTGCCGCTCCTCCGGCACATTCTCGCACGCCGTGAAGGTCTCCTCGCCGTCGTCGTTGTCGCCAGCGCGGCCGCCCCCCTGCGCACGAAGCGGTCGTCGGCGCCGCTGATCGCTGCGTCGAGGACCGCCCCGAGCTGTGGGTGGGCGGGGTCCGCGACCACCCAGCGAGGCGGGGCACCAGCCGCGCCACGCGGCACGTCGATGCCCAGCACCGTCGCCACGGCCGCCGCCTGCTCCCTGATGCCCTCGAGCTCGCCCTCCTCGAACGGGTCGAAGGCGTACAGCTGTCCCGCCAGGCGCTGAGGGAACGGAGCGTTCCGCGGCAAAGGGACCACGCGGTGCGCCGTCAAGTCCCCGAACTGCACTCTGTGGTCGGGGGTCACCCAGATCCACTTGCCGGCGCCCGCCGGCACGAGGAGGACCCGCACGTGGAAGTTGAACCCGTTCGGGTCGACGAAGAAATCCACGGCCACCTGGGGCTCCCGGATGTCCAGGCTCCGCGCCATCACGCGCGCCTGGCCCGCAGCGAAGCTGGTGTCGCCGCTGGCCTCCCGTCGTCGCCGCCGTCACCGGCAGCCCCCTGCAGCTCCAAGACTGGCGCGTCGTCCTCCACGGTCGGGCTTTCCCGCAGCTCAAATGCCGCCGCCCTCGGCGGCCAGCACAGCCTCCAGACCGCCCCGGCCAGCGCAGCGGGCCCCGAACGCCGCGCCCGCGGCGAAGGCCCCGTACGCCGGCCCCGGCGTGGGGCAGCGCAGCTCGGGGCAGCCTGGGCAGACCGGGCAGGTCAACTGCTCTGGCCCACAGCGGTCGAGTTGCCTCCCCAGCAGCCCGACGATCTCGGAAGGCACGGAGCAGTCCGCCACGCAGTTGCAAGCTGGGCACCGCGGCGGCAGCAGATATGGCGCGAGCGGGGCCGCGGCGTGGACTAGGCCGAGGGCCCAGTCCATTCCCCTCGCCAGAACTCCTTTGAGCCGCAAGTGGCCGCGGAGAGCATGGGCCTCCGCTCTGAAGAGGCTCCTCGAGTTAGAAACCAAACATACACAGATACACACACATACATTGCACACACAGAACCACACGTGCATACAAGCATTCATATATATATATATATGCGCTAGAACAGTCATACCTACATATACCTACATGCATACATTCCATACATACAAATATACAGACATGCATGCAGGTGTGTACGACCCCTACATACATATATGGATGCATGCATGCATGCATACTTACATATACATACATACCGACAAACGTGCGTATATGCCCACTACATGCAAACAACAATACCCATATACATACATACATACATACATACATACATACATGCATACCTACCTAACTACATACATACACACATATACATCCATACGCACATACATACCTCGACACATACAATCATGCATACATGCAGCCATACATGCATACAGTCATGCATGCACACATACATGCACACGCATGTACATACTTACATGCACGCATTCATGACTGCATGCATGCATGTATACAGACATACGCACATACATTCATCAATACATACATAAATACCTACACGCGCAACCACACATACATGCATTCATGCATACATCCATACATGCATACAGCCGAGCATGCATGCACATATACATACATACATAACTACATACATGCATGCATGCATGCATGCATACATACATACATACATTTAGAGAGAGCACAAACACAGACACCCGCGAGAAAGAGTATAACCATAGAAAAGGGGAGATAAAGAGAGAGAGAGAGGAATCTAGACAGGCAGGCGGACAGACAGCGAAAGGGAGAGAGAGACAGAAAGAGACATCCTTCAAAAGTCCAACAAAGGGGTGAATTCCATCTGGCAAAAGGGTGGGATAGGGGAGCCAAGAGCAGAGGAAGCGCGTTTCGCTGGCGCTTGCCTTGGGAACATTCGGCGGCGTGTTTGAACTGGGGGGCCCCCCCCCAGAACATTCAGCGCCGTCGAACAGAACAATGGGGACTCGCCTACACCCCCTGCCCAACTTCCGATCCCCCCCCCCTCCCTCCCAGCGCCAGCGCCGCCGCGAGCATCTTCGTCGTCGTCGTCAACGTCGTCGTGCCCGTCGTCGTCGCCGCCATCGTCGTCGTCTTCGTCGCCGTCCTGCTTCGCCGTCATCGACGTCGTCGTCGTCGTGCTCATCGTCGACGTCGTCGTCGTCGCCGTGGCCGTCGCCGTCGTCGTCGTCGTCGTCGTCGTCGTCGTCGTCGTCGTCGTCGTCGTCGTTGTCTTCGTCGCCGTCGTCGCCGTCGTCGTCGTCGGCGCCATCGTCGTCGTCGCCGTCGTAGTCGTCGTCGTCGTCGTGGTCTTCGTCGCCGTCGTCGCCGTCGTCGACGTCGTCGTCGAACTCGCCGTCGTCGTCGTCGTCGTCGTCGTCGTCGTCGTCGTCGTCTTCGTCTTCGCCGTCGTCGCCGACGTCCTTGTCGCCATCGTGGTCGTCGTCGGCGACGCCGTAGTCGTCCTCATCGTCTTCGTCGCCGCCGTCGCCGTCGTGGACGTAGTCGTCATCGTTGTCGTCCTCGTCGTCGCCATCGTCGCCGTTGACGTCGATGTCGTCGCAATCGTCGCCGTCGTCGCCGTGGTGGCCGTCGTCTTCGTGATAGTCGCCTCCGTCTTCGTCGTCATCGTCGCCGTGGTGGACGGCGTCGTCCTCGTTGTCAACGCCGTCGTCGCCGTCGAGGTCGCCGTCGTCTTCGTCGTCGTCTTCGTCGCCGTCGTCACCGTCGCCGTCGCCGTCGTTGTTTTCGTCGTCGTCGTCGTCGTCGCCGTCGTCGTCGTAGTGGTCGTCGCCGTCGTCGTATCCGTCGTCACCGTCGTCGTCAACGTCGTAGTTGTCGTCGTCGCCGTTGTCAAAGTCGTCGTAGACGTCGTCGCCATCGTCGTCGTCGCCGTCGTCGCCGTCGTGGACGTCGTCGTCGTCGTCGTCCTCGTCGTCGCCGTCGTCGTCGTTAACGTCGATGTCGTCGCAATCGTCGCCGTCGTCGTCGTCTTCGCCGTCGTCTTCGTCTTCGTGATAGTCGTCTCCGCCGTCGTCGCCGTCGTCGCCGTCGTCGTCGCCGTCGTCGTCGTCTTCGTCGTCGTCTTCGTCGCCGTCGTCGCCGTCGTCGTCGTCGTCGTCGTTGTCGTCGCTGTTGCCGTCGTCGTCGTCGTCGCAGTCGTCGTCGTCGTCGTCGCTCTCGTCGTATCCGTCGTCACCGTCGTCGCCGCCGTCGTCGTAGATGTCGTCGTCGCCGTCGTTGCAGATGTCGTCGTCGTCACCGCCATCGTCGTCGTCGTCGCTGTCGTGGTCGTCGTCACCGTCGTCGTTGTCGTCGTCGTCGTCGCCGTCGTCGTCGTCGTCGCCATCGTCGTCATAGTCGTCATTATGTTTGTCGTCGTCGTCGTCGAAGTCATTGTGTTCGTCGTCGTCGTCATCGTCGTTGTCGTCGCCGTCGTCACCGCCGTCGTCGTCGACGTCGTCGTCGTCGTCGGTGTTGTGCTCGTCGTCATCCACGCGGTCGCCGTCGTCGTCGTCGTCATCGCCGGCGCCACCGTCGTCGCAGTCGTCGTAACCGCGGTCGTCGTTGCCGTCGTCGCCGACGTCGTCACCGTCCTCGTCGTCGTCGTCGTCACAGTCGTCGTCGTCGTCATCGTCGTCTTCGTCGCCGTCGTCGGCGTCACCGTCGTCGCCGTCGGCGTCGTCGTCGTCGCCGTCGTCGCCGTCGTTGTCGTCGTCGTCGTCCCCGTCCTCGTCGCCGTCGTCGCCGTCGTCGTCGTCGGTTCCATTTTCGCCGGCGTCGTCGTCGTCGTCGCCGGTGTCGCCGTCGTCGTCATCTCCGTCGTTGTCGCCTTCCTCGTCGCCATCGTCGTCGTCTTCGTCGTCGTCGTCACCGTCGTCGTCGCCGTCGTTCGTCGTCGTCGTCGCCGTCGTCGTCGTCACCGTCGTCGCCGCAGTCGTCGTCGTCGTCGTGGTCTTCATTGTCGTCGTCCTCGCCAACGACGTCATCTTTGTCGTCGTCGCCGTCGCAGTCGTCCTCGTCGTCGCCGCAGTCGTCGTCGCCATCGTCGTCGTCGTCATCGTCGTCGCCGTCATCGCCATTGTCGCCGTCCTCGTCGTCGCCGTCGTCGTCGTCGTCGTCATCCGTCGTCGTCGTCGACGTCATGATCATCATCGTCAATGTCGCCATCGTCGTCGTCGTCACCGTCGACGCCGGCGTCGCCGTTCGTCATCGTCGTTCTGCTATTCGTCGTCGCCGTCGTCGTCGTGCTCGTCGTCGTCGTCGCCATCGTCGTCGTCATCGTCGTCGTCATCGTCCCCGTCGTCGTCGCCGGCGTCGCCGTCATCGTCGTCGTCGTTGTGCTATTTATCGTCGCCGTCGTCGTCGACGTGCTCGTCGTCGTCGTCGCCGTCTGTGTTGTAGTCGTCGTCGCCATCGTCGATGTCGTCGTCGTGGCCTTCGTCGTTGTCGCCATCATCGCCGTCGTCGTCGCCGTCGTCGTCGTCGAAGTCGACGTCGTCTTCGTTGCGGTCGCCAAGTTCGCCGTCGTCGTCGTCGTCGTGGTTATCGTGGTCATTGCCGTCGTCGTTGTCGTAGTCGCCGTCGTCGTCGCCGTCGACGTCGGGGCCATCGTTGTCGTCATCGGCATCGCAGTCGTCGCCGTCGTCGTCGTCGCCGTCGCAGACGTCGTCGTCGTCGTTGTCGTCGTCACCGTCGTCGCCGTCGTCGTCGTCACCGTCGCTGTCGTCGCCATTGTCGCCGTCCTCGTCGTCGCCGTCGTCGTCATCGTCGTCGTCATCCGTCGTCGTCGTCGTGCACGTCGTCGTCGTCGCCGTCGTCGTCGTCGCCGCCGTCGTCGCGGCGGTCGTCGTCGTCGTCATCATCGTAGTCGTCGTCGCCGTCGTTGTCGTGGTTCTCGTCGTCGTCGTCGCCATCGTCAGCGCAAAGCGTCGCCGTCGTCAGCGTCGTCGTCGACATCGTCGCCGTCGTCATCGTCTTCGCCGTCGTCGTAGTCTTCGTTATGATCGTCGTCGTCGTCGCCGTCGCCGTCCTTGTGGTCACCGTCGTCGCCGCCACCGTCGGCGTCATCGTCGCCATCGTCGCCGTCGTCGTAGTCGCCGCCGTCTTCGTCGTCGTATTCGTCGAGGTCGTCGCCGTCGTGGAAAGCGTCGTCGTCGTCGCCGTAGTCGTCGCAACCGTCGTCTTCGTCGTCGTCGCCATCGTCGCAGTTGTTGTCGTATACGTCGTCGTCGTCGTCGTCGTCGCCGGCGTCGCCGTCGTCGCCGTCTTCGTCGTCATTGTCGTGGCCGTTGTCGTCGTGGCCGTCGTCGCCGTCGCCATCGTCGTCGTCGTCATCGTCGTGATTGTCTTTGTCGTCGTCGTCGCCGTTGTCGTCGCCGCAGTCGTCGTCGCCGTCGTCGTCGTCGCCGCCGTCGTCGTCTTCGTCGGCGTCGCCTTCGTCGCAGTCGTTGCCGTCGTCGTCGTCGTCGTCGTCGTTCTTGTCGCCGTCGTCGCCGTCGTCGTCATCGTCGTTGTCGTCGCAGTCGTCCTCGTTGTCGTCGTCGTCGCCGTCGCCGCCATCGTCGCCGTCATGCTCGTCGTCGTCGTCGTCGGCATCGTCGTCGTCGTCTTCATCGCCGTCGTGGCCACCATCGTCGTCGTCGCCGTTGTCGTCGTCGTCTTCTTCGTCGTGGCCGTCGTTGTCGTCGTGCTCGTCGTCGTCGTCGTCGCCCACTTCACCGTCGTCGTGAACGTCGTCGTCGTCACCATCTTCGCCATCGTCGATTCGATTCGATTCGCGGGGCCATGAAGGCAATCCAGGCGAGCGGGCTACTCGCCCGAGCACACGCCGCCAGGGCTCAGGCCGCGGCCGCGCCGCGGGCGGACGCGGCGGTCCTCCGCGGTGGAGCTGGCGGCCAGCGCCCGCTCGGCGAGGCACTGCTCGATCGGGCCGCACGCGGCCAGCATGGCGACCAGCGGGTCGACGCCCGCCAACTCCTGCTGCGCCGCCGCCGTCGGCCGCGACGTTGGCCCCTGCTCGCGGCCGCCTGCATGCCCAGGCGCTGCCGCTGAACTGCCGCCTGCTGGCGGGGGGCCCTCTTCGACCACGATGCCCAGCCAGGCCAGGAACGCCTCCTGGGCCGACGGGGCCAGAGGCCCCTGCAGCCCCAGCGCAGGGAACTCGGCACCTTTCTCCATGCGCTGCTGGACTCCTCCGCGTGGCCGACCACCTGGATGAAGCCCTCGAGCCCAGAGGCGGCGCTGGCTGCGCTGCCCGATGGCCCTTGCCCCGATGCATGGCTCCTTGAGCTTAGGGCGGCCCCCAGCGCGGCCGCCGAGGACCATGTAGGCGCCGCACCTGCTGCATGCCACCAGCTCCTGAAACTCCTCGCCCGCGTCGCAGAGCGCGTACGCCAGGGAGTGGCCGAGGTGGCCTGCGCCAGCCGTGGTGAAGGAGAGGCCGACCGCGCTGGCCGCCGAGCGGAAGCACTCCACGCGCGGCTGCTGCTCCGTCGGCCTGCCTGCAGTGGCCTGCTCGGCCTGCTCCTCCAGGTCGGCGAACCTCGCCCACTGCCTCTCGTCGGACACGAGGAGGCAGTCGCTGTCCTTCTCCGCGGTGTCCCGCCTGGCGACGGCCGCCTCGGCGCGCAGCCGTGCTCCCAGCTCGGCGGAGCCGCGGGCGCGCAGGGCGCCGCACCGCTGCGCCTCCGTGCGTAGCCCGCCGAGCACCGCCTGCCTGTTGCCGTGGGCGGCCACCTTGCTCGCCCTGGAGCCACCAGGTCCGAGGGCGGCGGGGCTCCTCCAGGGGTGGGCGTTGGCATTGGTCGGGCCCGTCGCATAGGCCAGCTCCCTGTGCTGACTCTTCGCCGTGCCGCGGCCGCCGATGAGGACCTCCTCGACAGCAGGGCCCGCGTAGATCACATTCTTCCAGACCGCGAAGCCCTCACCGCCGCGGGCAGCCTGCTGTGGCGGGAGGGCCCTCCTGACGGTCACGTAGGCGCCCGCGACGAGGCTGCCGTCGTCGTCGCATTGAGCAAAAGCCCAGCCCGCGCGTCCCCAGGCGTAGAGCCGCTGGTCGACCGACGAGCCGTCCACGCACAACTTGCCATTGGGCTTGACGTCGGGCGGCCTGCATGTCCTCCAGCAACTCATGGCGTCCGTGCGAGGCCCTTGGGGCGGCGTCGCTGACCACCAGCGCCGAGCAACGACCTCCCCTGCTGCCACTCCGAGAGGGCGAACCCGCACGGCGCTCCATGCCAGCGCTGGCGAGACTGAGTCGCTCAGCGGGGCCGCAAGCATGGGGCACTCGAACTTACTGTGGAGCCTAGCCTGCGGCCAATGCGCGTTCGTGAGGTGGGAGACCAGCCCGCTCCTCTGACGCTCGCCGAGCTCGCCTCCTGGCCCGACGAGCTCCCTGCAGGCAACCCAAAAGGCGGAGCCACACCCAGACGGGGCACTGGCCAGCTTCCGCAGCTCCAGCCAACCCGAGGCGCACCTCGCCCCTAGGCTGGCCTCTGGGCCGAGCTCACGCCGCCCCGTCAGCGCCATGTCCCGCACGTCCGTGATGAGGCCCCGCTCGGACCTGAAGTGCCAGCCGAAACTGCCCAGGGTGAGGACAGCTGCATCCACGGGGAAGTCGCGGTGCGCCCAGGGCTCGGCTGCTGACGCCTGCCGCGGCGCTGTAGCCTCGAGTGCTCCTCTGAGTATCGGCGGGGGGAGCTCGCCCGAGTGCAACCATCCTGCAGGACTATGGAGCGTGCAGTCCGTGATCAGCATGGGCGGATCCAGGTCGAGGGCCCTGCGGGGCTCCGCACACCGCAGCCTGAGGCCGAAGGCCGCGCCGCGAGCGCGCCGCCCCGAGCAGGGGCACGCGGTGACTCGCCCACCGCGCAACTCTCCGTCAGCTTCACCAGTAACCGTCCGCCCCCATGCCACACTGGACGTAGGCCCAGCCTTGTGGATCCTGTCCTCGGCGATCAGGTGCGCGTCCCCACGCGCGATGTAGGCCTCTAGCACCTCCAAGGCACGGTCACATGCGTTGCCGTAGGCGTCCAGCACGTCGAAGCATGCACGGAGCAGCCCAGCAACCTTCTCAGAGGCAGGCACAGCCCTGCCCACTCTCGCCTCAAGGGCGGCTGGCGTGAACCCGGCGGCGGCTCCGCGACTCCCATGGGGCGGGGCAGACGGCTGCGACGTCGGAGGGCTGAATCCTCCCGCCGTCTGCCCACTCGAGGCCGTCGGGGGGACGCCTCGGCGGTCCCGACCGCACCTCGGCCCAGGAGTGGACCCGCCTTGCCGCCGTGGCTCCCCTCGCGCCAGGTGCAAGGTCGGCCAGTCTGGCGGCGGCGGAGGCGGCGCGGGCCCCCAGGCTGTCGCCGCTGCCGAGCGGCTAGGAGCGGCGAGGGCCCATAGGAGCGTAGCCCCCAGCAGCTGCCAGGGAAGCCAGGGCCTGGCCGTCCTCGTGCTCGTCCCTGGCATCCTCAAGGATCCTGCGCTCGGCCTTGCCAGGCTGGGGCCAAGCGCCGCACGCTGCGCCCGACTGCCCGCGGGCGGCGGCTGGCCCGTAGGGCCCCACTGCTGGGCTCGCCCGCTGGGTGGGCGGGCATGGCCGCACCTGCTGCCCTGCTGCCTCCGCTGGCGACCGCTGCACTGCGGGGGCGGAGGCTCCAGCGGCTGGGGCGGGGGCGCCTTCCTCGTCGTCGACGGCGAGCCCGTCCCCGCCAAGGCCGTCGGCCCAACGCGAGGCTGCGGCAGCTGGCGCAGCGGGGTGGAGCACGTCCGAGATGGCTGCGCTCTGCGTGGCAATAATGCCCATGATCTCCAGGAGCCTGGGCGCGACGCCGTCCGCGTTGCGGCCAAGCATCTCCCCCAGCTGGCTGACCTGGGTGACGAGGCCCCCGACTGCGGTCTCAAGGGGCTGCTGGCCTCCGCACACCTCGATGGCCCGCTGGAGCGCCTGCTGGGCTGTCTGGGCCTTCGACTCCTCGAGCTTGACGAGCAGGCTGTCAAAGTCCTCGACCTCGGACTCTGTCTCGGCCAGCTTTTCCTGTATCGCCGCAATCCTCCCTCTGAGGGAGTCAGCCCGCTGCACGGCCTGCTCGCGCTTGGCTCTGGTGGCAGCGATCTGCTTCTCGACCTTCTGCATGGCGTTGGCGCCGCCGTGGAGGACGGCGTGGGGGGGCCTCCCGAGCCGCTGGGCCTCGCGGAGCTCGGCCTCTGCCCTCTCGGCCGAGGCCTCCGCCGCGAGGAGGGCCGCCCTGGCCTCACGCTGGAAGGCCTCGCTGGTCTCCTCCATGGCGACCGCCTCGCGGAGGCTGGAGATGCGAGCCTGGGCTTCCTCGAGCCTGCGCTCCAGACTCGACGCTGGCTCCTCTGGCTGCTCCCCGCGCTCCTCACGCCAAGGCGGCGGCTTGACACCGCCCCGCGGCCGCCCCCTGCTGTTGGGCGCACTGCTCGGCACGGTGCTGGCGGCCGAGGCTGTTCGGGAGGCGTCTCCAGCTCGGCGCGCTGCACGCTGATGCGAACGCCCTCTGGGCTGCTGGACGAAGCCTTCCCCGTCGGCCTGGGGCAGTTGCGCCGCGCGCAGGCGCTTCGCCCACGCTGGCGCCTCCTTCCCGCACGACTTGCAGGTCGCCCGCCTGTCGCACCAGTTCCACTCCTTGCACTGGCAGACCCAGTACACCCTGCGCCGCGGCGCTCCAGTCCCGTCGCCCGACATGGCTGCTGGCCCCGCGCGATCCGCCTGGCCACGCTGCATCGAAGAAACGAAGCAAGAAGCTGGCCCAGGGCGCGGCGTCCCTCGCGCTCGACAGCGCCCGAAGGACTTGCGGTCGTCGGGATCGCCATGGCCTTGAGCCAAAATGGCTACGGATCTTCGCCATCGTCGTCGTATTCGCAGTCGTCGTCGTCGTCGCCGTCGTCGTCGTCGTCGCCGTTGTCGCCGTCGTAGTCTTCGTCGTCGTGCTCGTCATCGTCGCCGTCGTCGCCGTCGCAGCCGTCGTCGTCGTCTTTGTCGTCGTCGCCGTCGCCGTCGTCGTGGCCGTCGTCGTCATCATCGTCATCGTCGTCGATATATTCGTCGTCGTGCTCGTGATCGTCGACGTCTCAGTCGTCGTCGTCGTGCTCGTCGTCATCGTCGTCGTCGTCGTCGTAGTCGGCGTCGTCGTCGCCGTCGTCGTCGTCGTAGCCGCCGTCGTCGTCGTCGTCGCCGTCGTCGTCGTCGCCGTCGTCATCGTCGTCGCTGTCGTCGCCATTGTCGCCGAGTGATACTCGAAAACCTAGTTTTTAAAAGATTGCCACGGTTATCTTTCCCCAGATTTTCCTCCGGATTGTCCTCCAGATCTTCACCCAGATATTCCCCCAGATGTTTCCCTTGATCTCCCCGCAGATCTTCACCCAGATCTCCTCCCAGATCGTCACGCAGATCTTGAGGTCTTCCTCCAGATCGTCATTCAGATCTCCTCCTCCTTTTCCCCCAAAAAATACCCCCCTGGATCTTCACCCAGATCTTCGCCCAAATCCCCTCCTGGATCTTCATCCAGATATTGCCTCAGACCCTCGCCCACATCTCCCCCCAGATCTCCCCCCTGATCTTCCCCCAGATCTCCTCCCAGATCTTTCCCCACATCTTCCTCCAGATCTTCTCCCAGATCTTCCCCCAGATCTTTCCCCAGATCTTTCTCCAGATCTTTCTCCAGATATTCCCCCAAATTTTCACCCCAGATCTTCCCCCAGATCTTCTTCCAGATCGCCGCGCAGATCCCCCACCAGATCTCCCCAAAGATCTGTCCCCAGATCTTCCTCCAGACATTCCCCCAGATCTTCCCCCCAGATCTTCCCCAAAATCTTCTTCCAAATCGCCGTGCAGATCTCCCACCAGATCTTCCCCCAGATCTTCCCCCAGGTCTCCCCCCAAATCTTCCTCGAGATCTTCCTCGAGATCTTCCCCCAAACCTCCCCAAAAATCTGTCCCCCAGATCTTCCCCAGATCTTCCGGCAGATGTTCCTCCAGATCTTCCCCCGGATTCTTCCCCAGCAGTTTCTCCCAGATCTTCCCCCCAGATCTCCCCCCAGGTCTTCCCCCAGATCTCCCCCCAGGTCTTTCCCCAAATCTTCCCCCTGATCTTTCCGCAGATCTTCCCCCAGATCTCCCCCCAGATGTTGCCCCGGATGTTTCCCTGAATCTTTCCCCAGATCGTATCCCAGACCTTCCTCCAGACCTTCCCCCAGATCTTCCCCAGATCTTCCCCCCCAGATCTTCCCCCAGATCGTCCCCCAGATCGTCCCCCAGATCTTTCCCCAGATCTTCCCCCAGATGTTCTTCGAGATCTCCCATCAAATCCTCCTCCAGATCTTCCCCCAGATCGTCCCCCAGACCTTCCCCCAGCTCTTCCCGAAGGTCTTCCGCCAGATCTTCCTCCAAATCGTCACCCAAATCTGTCCTCTGATCTTTCCCGATGTTGTCCGGCAGAGGGCAGAGCTTTTTCGATGTTCCACCAATAGATCCACCCAAATATTGATTCAAATCTTCCCCCAGATTTTCCTCCAGATCGTCCTCCAGATCTTCACCCAAATTTTCCCCCTCATGTTTCCCCATATCTTTTTGAGCAAGAGAGCCCCACCTCCATGATCAACCACGCAAGCGAGCACTCATATGGGCAGCGGTAACACCAGCTACCCCACCAGATGGGCGGTACAACTCTAAAGAACTGAACTTGCGGAAACAAGAAGCCGCACGAGCGGCAACAATTGGTATTCCCCTCATGTTTGCTCATGTTTTCTCTATCAGATCTTCCTCCAGATCTTCCCGAGATCTTCCCGCAAATCTTGCTGCAGATTTGCGACGCACTACATCGCCAAATCCCCCTCAGCACATTCTCCAGATTTTCGCCCAGATGTTCCACCAGATGTTCCCTCAAATGTCTCTCCAGATCTTCCTCCAGACTTCCCGCCAAATATTAGATCCGAGATGTTCCCTCGGATCTCCCCGAAATGTTCCGCCAAATATTCCTCCAGATTTATCTCTTTGCAACCGCGCCAAATCTTCCTTTGGACACTCCCCAAATCTCCCGACAGATCTTCCCCCAGATCTTCCCCCTGCTGCTCCAGGGCGTCCCTTGTTTTGTTTCATGCCGCGTCGCGGGTCCGGTTATTGTTTTTGAGATTCCTAGTTTTGTTCTCTGCCTCGCTTCGGGGCTGCGATCTCTACGCGACAACCTAGAATCGAAAAACCCTTGTTTTTAGAATTCCTTGTTTTCCAAGCTCCAGTCGCCGTCGACGTCGCCGTCGTCATGGCCGTCGTCGTCATCATCGTCATCGTCGTCGATATATTCGTCGCCGTCGTGCTCGTGAACGTCGACGTGCCAGTCGTCGTCGTGCTCGTCGTCATCGTCGTCATCGCTTTCGTCGTCGTCGTCGTCGCCTTCACCGTCGTGGTCGTAGTCGTCGTCGTTGTCGTCGTCGTCGTCGTCGCCGTCGTCGACGTCGTCGTCGTCGTCGCAGTCTTCCCCGCCATCGTCGCCGTCGCCGTCGTCGCCGTCGTCGTCGCGTCGTCGTCGCCGTCTTCGTCGCCATGCTCGACGACGTTGTCGTCGTCGTCGTGGCCGCCGTCGTCGTCGCCGTCGTCGTCGTCGTTGCCGTCGTCGTCGTCGCCGTCGTCGCCGTCGTCGCCGTCGTCGTCGTCGTCGTCGCCGTCGTCGTCGTCGTTGTCGTGCTTGTCGTCGTCGTCGTCGTCACAATCGTCGTGGTCGCCATCGTCGCCGTCATCGCCGACATCGCCTCCCTCCCCCTGGTTTTGGGGGGGGTTCGAACCCCCCCCCCCTCCTGAATGCAGGGGGAGGGGCCCGGTTCCGACCCGCCCGCCCCCCCCCTCCAAGCGCCCACAGAAGCCACCCTTTCGCAGATGTACACGTTAAGACATCCTGGCATAGGAGAGCTGGGGGGCACACTGTCCAGTCAGCACTGGACCGCGCAAAAGTGCCCTGAGAACTCCGACGGGTGATCCCCCGACGGGAATCAGAAGCTTCCGAAGGGGCACCTGCTGGCAGGCTGACTTCCTATCTGAGCGCGCGCCTGCTGTGGAAGGACACTGGGTGTACGCAGTGGGGCACGCAGGCGAGGCGGGGGCAAAGACGGGGCCAGAAAGCAGGGGACATGGCGGAAGGGCGGACGAGGGAAAAAATGAGAGAGGGAAGCAGGAAAGTGGAGAGGGAGGGAGGGAGGGAGGGAGGGGAGGGAGGGAGAGAGAGGGGGGAGGACGACGCGTGACGAAGTGAGTGAGGCCAACACGAACACGCATCCTGACATAGTCTCCCAAGGGATCCAGCTCCACCGGGGGAGCATCTGGCGCCCAAGCCCAGAAAGGCCCCAGAGGTAGGAGAAGGGGTGAGGGAGGGAAGGAGAGCTGTTCTTTGCACCCACCGCCACACACATCCTCATATTGGGCAAACCGTCACGAGATCGGCAATGGGGGTGGGAACAGTTGCCACATCTCGTCAGGGAGGGGAGGAGAGTGGAGACAAGAAACGACGGCTCGCGAAGAACTAGGGCCAACAGGGGCGCCTTAACCCGGCAGGATTTGGCAACCCAGCGCTGAACCACCAGCAAGCGGTTTCGCATGGGAGGCTCTCACCACATGGGCCCACGGACCATCCCAGGAAGTCATCAGCAGAGAGGGAAGGGGGAGGAGGGGGGGAGTGAGGCCAACAAGCGCGGGTGCTGACACCGTTTCTTGGGAATCTGGCAGGGCCTCCCTGCACTGAGCCCCAAACCAGGATCTTTGCACGGGAGGTTCTTGCACAATCGCCGCCCCCCCTTGACCCGAGAAGACGCCGTAGAAGGGAGGAGGAGGAGGAGGAGAAAGGAAGAAAGAAAAGAAAGTACAGCTCCGAAGAAGTCTGGTGGCATCACCACAGCAAGGGGAAAGCAAAACATGAGGATCAGCAGTTAGGTGGACCTGCCAGGACTCATCCTTGGACTTGGTCCTGAAGAGCAGGGCCACCGTGCGGCTCAGCGAAGTAGGGAGGAGGCGAACACGCGCGCAAACGCGAGAAAGTGAGGCCAACAAGCGCGTTCCCTGACACCGCTCCCTGGGAATACATCCCCTCCTGCTATGTATCCTCATTGTCCTCTTTATCCTCCTCCTCCTCCTCCTCCTCCTCCTTCTCAGCGTCCTCCTCCTCCTCCTCCTCATCATCATCATCATCATCCTTCCCTTGCTCCACATTGGATCCTACGGGGGGGCACCTGTCCGACAGTCGTTGCATGACTCATCGTACAAATGGCATCGGATACTCTCGTCAATCTCACAACCCTTTTCTTGAACAACCTCCACCACAACGTCACGGCGAAGGCGCGCGCCGGAACTTCTGCATACAGAAAACCCCGAACGATCGCAAGGCGAAGGGCCCGAGAAAGTCCCCGGAATTCTGCACCAAATCGCCTGACCACCCTACCGACACGTCCGTTGGTGCCGCGGTGATATGTTGTGCTACAAAGGGTACACTAATCAAGTACGAGGAGAGGAAATGAAGAGGAGGAGCAGGAGAAGGAACCGTCATAGCGAAAGGAGGGGATCTAAAACAACAAATACAAATATGAATGATGGGATGGACTTGAAGATGCCGGAAAGAAGGAAGGCGAGCGGGACGGGCGACGGCAGCAGAATGTGAGGGCGAGGAGAATGAGAGGATGAGGGCCCAAAGAAAAAAGGAGAGAGGAAATAGGGGGAAAGAGAGAGAGAGAGAGGGAGAGAGAGAGAGAGAGAGAGGGAGAGAGGGAACGAGAGAGAGAGAGAGAGAGAAAGAGAGACAGAGACAGAGACAGAGACAGAGACAGAGACAAAGGAAGCAGGACGCGCCAGCGGGTTCGACGGGGCCTGCACCACCCAGTGGTGCTCGGTCGAACTCAACTCGTTCTCCAAGGACGTCTCGGAGATCCTCGAGACCGCCGAATGGCGGGAGGCCTCCGACGCGGCAACGGCGAAACGCGTGGAGCTCCCGCTCGGGCTGCTGGCAGAGTGCTCGGCGTCCGCCTGGGTCGCAAGGGTTTGGCGCCCGTGCCGCATGCTCGCCCTCCCTTCCGGCGGGTCCCAAATTACTGTCTGGGTCACTGTTCTGGTCCCCGATCCCCACCCCTTTTCCTTTTCCTCCTCCTCCTCCTCCTCCTCCTCCATCCTCTTCCCCATTTTTTACCCTGTTTTTGCTCTCTCATCTTCCTCCTCCTAAGTCCCTCCTCCTCCTCCTCATGCTCCTCCCTCCCCATCCTCATCCACCCTTTTCCTCTTGCTCCTCCTCCTCCTCTTTTGCCTCCGCGGGTCGCACCGCAGGCGCAGACCGGTGCAGTCAAAACCGCTCAGAAGCGATCGGGGTCCTCCAGTGGACGACTAGAGCGTGCTGGGGGGGCGCTGTGTCTAAAACGCAGGCACGGCAGAGCGGCGCGCCAGGGCGCTCGCGGGGGCGACCGGCCCAAGGGCCATGGGCTTCGAACCCGGGGAGGGCGGGAATGGGCGAAGCCAGGAGCGGGACGAAGCCGAAGTGGAGCACGGACGAGGGAGGAGGAGCCAGCTGGCGGGGGAGGAGATGGAGAACAAAGGAAAAGGAAGGCAAACAGGAGGGGGGAGAAAGAAGGCGAGGAAGCAGCAGAAACCGAACGGAAACGAGCGCGACGACCGACCGGGGGCAAGGAAGCGAACTCCTCCTCCTCCTCCTCCTCCTCCTCCTCCTCCTCCTCTTCCTCCTCCTCCTCCACCTCCTCTTCCTCCCTCCCTTCCTCCCTCCCTCCTTTTTCTCTCTCCCGAGCCTGAGATGCTGCCGCATCGGCCGCCTCACACAATGTCGGCGGTCGAGAACAGCCAGAGGTTACAAGAGTGGTTAACATACGTGTCGAGCGCGCTCTCTGAAGCAATGGCTTCAGCGTTGATGTTCGACACCAGTCTTTCCATGAAGATCCCAGCCATGCATGCTGGCTGAGAGTGCCAAGAATCGTCGACTATAGCATGCGCCTCGATGTATATTGCTGCCGCAGAACAGCAATCGTCGCGGGTTCCCTCGTCGAGACGGACGAGATACTTGGTCCCTTTGGTGCACAAGACGTCGGCTGGCGGACTGTATTGCTGCCTCCACGAGCGTCGTCTATGGTGTGGTTGACCAGATGGTCTGCGGTTCTGTTGTAGCACCGGCGTCGCAAAGATACGGGGTCTGCCCACGCCTGCTCTGGTAGCCATCTGGCACGCCTGCTCTGGTAGCCATCTCCCTCTCTCCCTCCCTCCCTCCCTCCCTCCTCCTCTCCTCTCTCCTCCTCCTCCTCTTCCTCCTCCTCCTCTTCCTCCTCCTCATCCTATTTTCCCTCTCCTCCTCCTCCTCCTCCTCCTTCTCCTCCTCCTCCTCCTCCTCCTCCTTCTTATCCTCCCCCTGTGTTCCTCCTCCTCCTCCTCCTCCTGCTCCTCCTCCTCCTGCTCCTCTTCCTCCTCCTCCTCTTCCTCCTCCTCCTCTTCCTCCTCCTCCTCCTTCTCCTCCTCTTCCTCTTCCTCCTCCTTCTCCTCCTCGTCATCATCATCAGCAGCAGCATCAGAAGAATCAGTATCATCATCAGCAGCATCATTAACAGCATCGTCATCATCGTCGTCGCCCTGATCATCATCATCATCAGCATCATCATCATCACCATCACCATCATCATCAACATCATCAGCATCATCATCATCATCATCATCATAATCATCATCATTATTATTATCCTCACAATCAGCATCATCATCATCATCAGCATCATCATCACCATCATCAGCATCAGCAGCAGCATCACCATCATCATCATCATCATCAGCAGCAGCACCACCATCACCAACATATGCATCAACATCAGCATCATAATCATCAACACCATCGTCAGCATAATCGTCAACATCATCATCCGCATCACGATAATCATAATCATCGTCATCATCACCTCATCACCATCAACAACATCTCTGACATCATCAACATCATCAACATCAGCATCATCATCGTCATCATCACCACCATCATCATCGGCATCGTCATCAGTATCAACATCCTCCTCATCATCAGCATCATCAGCATCGTTGTCACCAGTATAACCCACATCAACAGCAGCACCATCAGCATCAGCATCATCAACGTCATCAGTATCAGCATCAACATCAGTATCATCATCAGTATCATCATCAGTATCGTCGTCGTCATCATCAGCGCCATCATCACATCACCATAATATTTCCCCTCAGCATCCAGACCTTCCCCTCGTACTCCTCCTTATCAGCCACCCTGTCGCATCCCCAGACGCGTCGGTAGGGCGAGTCGGACGTTTCGAAAGAGAACTTCCCCATCGCGAACGAGCCTGAAATCTTGAATTCACAACAGCTTCACGGTTGGACGGCGGGCCGTTCTTAATGTAGTTCTCGCCTTAGCGTCGCTCACATTCGTCTTACAAGTTCGCAACGGCTTCTAGGAATAATGGCGATTCATTGTCGAAATGTGGCTCTCGCCTCAGCGCCGCGCACATTCGTGCTAAAAGCTTCAAAATGTGGTGCTCGCCTGGGTGCCATCCATATTCGTTTTGAAAGTGTGCAGCAGTTTCGAAGGAGGGCGGCTTCTTTCCAATATGCGGTTTTCGCGCGCACGCCGCACACAGTCATATATTGGAAGTTTGCAGCAGCTTCAAAGATGAAGGGCGGGCCCTTTTCCACATGTGGCTCTCGCTTCAGCGCCGCGCACAGTTGCTGACACGTTTGCAACAAGTTCCAACAGGAGGGCGCCTCCGTTTCAGCATGTAGTTATCGCTGCAGCGCCGCGCAATTCCGATTTCAAGCTTTGCAGCAGCTTCAAGGGTTCGTATGGTTGGAAGTCCAGGAATTATGTCCTGACGCGGCTCAGGACTGCCAGGACGCAACGGTCACGCCCATTCGCTGTATTGAAATTCCAAATATGGCTGGCTGGCAAGATTTAGGACTGCCAAGACGCAACAGTCACGATGACTCGCGGCGCTGGTCTCCCACTAATCGTGTGTTGGCAATTGGGGACTCTCAGAAGGTTGTCTACGAGTGGGCATCCCCCCGCACTGCAGACACATTCTTGCAATGACCTGTGAACAAAAAGGGGAACTTGGAGGGAGGGATTATTGTAACATAGGTGGTGCGTCTTGGGCCTACACTCGTCCGCCTGCTCCTCCCCCGCATGCTCCTCACCCTCGCACCCCAAGGCCAGTCGGAAGGGCGGGCTGGGCGGTTCGCCGTAGACTCTCTGACCACGTATGAGCCTGACGCTTCCAAACGGACAACGGCTACACAGATGGAGGGCGGGTCGCGTCCAAGATGCGGCTCTCGCCTTAGCGTCGCTCACATTCGTCCTGCAAGTCCGAAGCGGCTTCTAAGAAGGAAGGCGAGTCGTCTTCAAATGTGGCTATCGCCTTAGCGCCGCGCACACTCGTCTGAACACATGTGCGAGAGCTTCACATATTGAGGGCGGATCGGCTTCAAAATGTAGCTCTCGCGCCAGCGCCGCGTACTTTCGTTTTGAGCAGTTGCAGGAACTTCAGGGATTGAGGGCGGCGCTTTCTAAAAATGTGGCTCTTGCCGTAGCACCGCGCACATTCGTTTCAACAATCTGCAAGCGTTTCACTGATCCCCGTGGTTACCGTACCAAAGATGCTGTGTGCAACGGCTCAGATTGTCAAGGCGAAACATGTCGTTCCGGCGCGATACTGGATCACCAAGAGCCAACCGTGAAATCTACTCGTGGCAGGCTTCCAGATTTTCACACAGTTAACCCCCAACGGGGCACCCCCCTAAGTGTACGGGCCTATGAAAATGGAGATTGGAGGGCCGCGGACTCCAACATGGTTGATGGGTCTTGGGTCCAGACTGGTACTCTCCCTCCTCCTCCTCTCCACCTTCTCCTCCTCCACTACTCCTCACTCCTCCTCTCCTCCTCCTCCTCCTCCTCCTCCT